TTACCGGCCTAAATGGATGCAAATAACATCTTGTATCCAGCGTGGTATTGACTAGAGGTTTATATTTAGTAAATGTAAAGATCTGTGGAGGGATCTGTCTTTAGCGGTGCTGTACACACATCCTCTCATCAATGTTTAAAATCTTTTTAGAGAATAATTTAACTTTAATCCATTTGCCTAGCTGGCACACCTTTGTCAGGAGAGCTTAAGATAAAGCCCCCCTTGTGAAAGTAAGATCAATTAATAAACAACTGAAGCCATGGATGGAGGTGTGTCGGCCACCTGTGGGGTACATGATGGCCTTAGCGACAGAAGGTGGTAAGCTCCTCTGTAAACCAGAGGCCCAGGGAGGAAGTGCTTCTTCCTGTAATCATCTACACCAGGATAATGATGTAAAAAGAACGCTTAAATTCCCACCAATGGCTCTATATGGTCTTCTTCTAGGTAGGCCTCCATCATTCGAGAAGAAAGGGAGAATAATAAGGGAAGGTTTTGCCAATTCTGCTATTAGGTAAGATAAACCTGTAAGCAGAGGAATTTACCTTGCATGATCGGGGCATGAAAATGATCTGACATACTGTCAATATAAGCTTGATCATGAACCAAATAATTAATGGACACACTTTTATGCATATTATTCATAAAACTCTCCAACCACCTCATGAAGGACAAGCTCTTTATTTTTATCCTCATCTGTAATAGGAGCAAAAGAGCCTTTCAAATGTCATATAGGTAGAAATGATGGTATCAAAGTCTAAATCCAATTCTCTCTAATCCTAATTCTGGTGTTTTAACCCTGCTTACACTGCCCTTAAAAAAACTTCCAAACATAATCATTAGAGCAAGTCCAAAAGTTACCCATGACAAAGCTCAAGTCTATAATTATTGAATCATAGGATAGAATGGAAAATGGAAGCAGGAGAAAGTAGACTCACATTTTTTTTATTAACTATCAAGGAAGAGAAAACAACACAGAATGAATGAATTTGTTCATTCTGATTCTCAACAAGGTGGTCTGGAGATGGCAGGAAGCTCACTGGACTTGGGAATTATCAGTTCCTGCTGGAAATTAAGTAACAAGCAAAGAATTTCTCTGAATTATGGGGGGTGGTGGTTTTGTTTGTTTCCTCCTCTGAAATAAAAGGATTAAACAACTCTGAGCTCTTTCAGCTCTTACATTCTAACATTAGAGTTCACTGCATTTTCGGCTGCCCTAATTTTCCTCCTCAAAACTTGGATCAGGTTGTTATAGGAAAACCAGGTCCATGAAGGAACCCATTTAAAAGCAAACAAAGCTGCTGGGTACGGTGATAAGTGCCTATAATCCCAGCTCAGAAGGCTGAGGTGAGAGGATTGCTCGAGCCCAGGAGTTGGAGTCCAGCTAGAGCAACATAGAGAGACATCTGCCTCTAAAAAATAGAAAACAAAACAAATGTCAAAAAAAAAAAAGTCTTTGATGGCCAGGAGAGGGCAGGATGGGTCAGATGTAGGATTTAGAGGAGGACTCCAGGAATAGTTTCTAGAAGATCTGTTGTCCTCCTGATTCTATATCTGGTCTATGCACTTACTGCCTGCGTATTCTTTAATGCTAATCTTTTCTTTAGCCAAATCCAGAAATTCAATAAGATAGGAAGAGAGCTTCTGCCCTAGATAGCACAGATGCCACAGTCCACAGAAAACAACTCCCCTTCCCTTCTGTCCCCACTACCCCCACCCCCACACACCCACCTAACTTCTCTACTTGTCTGTGTGCATCGTCTGTGAGTGTGAACTCAGGCCTGGGAAAGAAGGCTGAGAGCATTACCATGTGTGCTGTAATCAACCCCTAAGCCATAAGCTTCATAAGAACACAGCTGCTTTGTTCACGGCCCTGTCTCCAGCACCCAGAGCAGTGCCTGGCAAACGTCAGGACTTGATATATACATATCATGTGTGAAATCACTAACTCTGTTCTCTCCTACTAGACTAAAAGGATCCACCCTGAGCAAATTGTAAGCTCCCTAAGGGCAGGAGGACCACCCCTTATGAGTCTTTGAATTCCCATCATTTGGTCAATGTCTGAGACACACTGGCATAAAGTAGATCTCTGGGAAAAGGTAAAACTCATAAAAGTACAACCAAACGTTCAGATGAAAATGGAATCAGAGATGTCTCAGGCAAGAAATAACAGTGTCAGAATTATTTTAGAGGGCAGCTCAGCAGATAATCTTGGAGAAGACTGTGATCTTTTATCTTTTCATACTAGTTTATAAATAGTGAGAAGTAGCAGAGTTCACTGAACATCGCATCTTTGCTTAGTATTTTTATAGGAGTGGACAATTGTCAGGCCCTTTACCTCAGTTCCTATGATTCACCCCTGGGAGCTCAAACAACACAGGTCCTCCCTGTTCCGCATACATTGTGGAAATACTCTAAACCCGGGGCCACATGCAGATTCAGTGACAATGGCTTTTGCTTCTTTGTGGTGTCGAATACGATGAAAAATACGCACAGAACTTTTTTTTTTTTTTTGGCTAACCAGCTTTAATTAATGTTTGTGTACTTAATGCATGTCCCATGACAACTCTTCTTCCAATGTGTGGCAGAGAGAAAAAGGTTGGACCACTCTGCACACACCCCTGGCTCATAAAACCTGCCACTCCTTCTCCGGGAATTTGCAGCCTATCATCAACAAATTACCTCACACGTAACCTCCTCCACTGTTCCTGAACTTTCTTGCCTTAATTGCTGTGCTCTGACAACACTGCTCCCCTCACTGCTGTCAGATCAGTGCCCCTCCCTTCTCCCTAAAAACCCTGTGCTTTGATGTCCACGCCCTCAACCCTGTCACTGAGGCCCACCTCTAAACAAAAGTACCTCTCTTGAACTCATACCCTTCTCCAGCTTCCATTCCATTTGTCATTGTTCCCCTTCCTGCAAAATCCACCCAAAGCATTTTCTAGACTTGCTATTTCCAATCTCTGTCCTTTTCATCTCTCTTGCACCCATACTATCAGACATTCTTCCCCACAATGACACGGTAACAGGTATTTTCGAGATCACTGATAATCTCCATGTTGCTAAATCAAATGGTGAGGCAGAGAAAAGATGAAGCAGTTCTCAGGCCTCATCTTTCCTGAGCTTTCAGCAGCATTTGGTACCGCAACATACTCCCCCTTCCTGAAACCTGCCCACTTAGCTTCCAAGCACCCCTCTCTGGGTTTCCGGCAATCTTCCCAGCCATTTTCTCAGACCTCTTCTGTTGCTCCTAAATTTTCCTGACCTTGAAAAGTTAGAAAACCCAGGACTCCATCTGAAGATACCTCTGGACCCCTTCTATACACACTGACAGCCAGGACTGGTTACATAATTTTTAGAACCTAATGCAAGAGGAAAATGTAGGCTCCTTGCTCAGAAATTATTAACATTTCCAAGAAAGCAAAGGCAGAACATTAAAGTAAGTGCGAGACTCTTCAAAGAGCTGGGTCCCCAGCACCTTCAGTGCACATACTCACAGACAGAGCCAGTCCTTCTGGCAACCCTTGAACTTCCCTCTGACCTTGAATACTCCCCAGAGTTCCAGGTTCATTAATCTAGCTTCCCAAGGATCTCCTCTTGGCTCTTTAGCTGGCAACTGGACCAAATTCCTGACACCCTCCCCTACACAAAAGAGAACCCTGTTCCTCTGCAGTCTTCCCTATCTCAGTAAGTAACATTCTTCTAGTGTCTCAGATCAAAAACCTTGAAGCCATCTTTGATTCTCCTCTGACGGAAGCCCACACACATCATAAGCAACTGGCCTTGGGTTTACCCCCAAAGGTATGGAGGAGCCCCCACCTCTCCCCACCCTGCTTCCACCTTGGATTAGCTGGGCGCCCCAGAGCTGGCCACTCTGCCGCCACTCTTGTTCTGCAATCTAGTCCTGACTCTGTGACCTACCATCCTTTCAGGCCAGGATTTTCCTCAAAATGAGGGTGAAAGTGCCCTGACATTACTCAAGTTTAACAAACATGGGTCTAAATTAGCTGATAAGCTTGTTTCCCTGTCGCATTACCCATCTACTTATTTTTATATGCTTTTTTCTCAAAACAAACAGAAAAGCATGAAGATAACAAGTGACTCCAGCGCCAAACTGCCCACCCGTATGTTTCTCATACTAAAGAGCCACCTACAAACTTGCCAGGAGTCCTCAAACGGTGAGAAAACATCATTTTTGATGTTCCTCTTTCAATTTGGCATTATCTAAGGTTCTAGCTAACTCGCCTTGTGCCACGACCACACTGACACCCTACTCAACCACATTATGGCTTCTAAATATGTTATATAACGTAACCCAGACTTCCAACAGTGTGACTGGAGGACACTGTGTATTTATTAGGCTTTACAAGAATTCGAGTTCCAAGGCCCAGACCACAGCACGCAGGGTGTGTGTGTGTGCGTGTGTGTGTGCGCGCGCGCGCGCGCAGATTCCCAAGCTGGGGGTCGTAATCCTAGCGCTACCCTGAGCACGAGAGACCCCAGACCCCATGTGGTGAGAAATCCTAGAGCGACCCTCTGGCTGCCTGTGAGTTCCGCAGCTGGCCTATTCACTAAGAGGAGATGACCCCCACCCCAGCCCCTGCCAGCCGCCAGCAGGGGAGGCAAGACATCCTCTGCACCGCCAGACCGCGCCCACCGCAGCGGGGACTGCCTTTCGGGTCACATCCATCAGTGTCATCACCGGTGGGCGCACGGGCATGCGCGCGGCGCGCACACACACCCACTCCCTCTGTACAGGGATGACCCGGGGTCTCAGACACCGCAGTATCCCTCGCCGAGCACCCGGCCTTTCCGCCTGGCAGGTGCAGCGGCGCCCGGCTTCAGCCCCACCCCCTCCCCGGTGCAGGCGGATCCCGCGGCCCCGGAGCCGGGGGCGGAGGGGGGAGCAGGGCACAGGGCGGGGCAGTGTCATCTAACGGCCCGCGCGCCCCGCGCCGCCCCCGCCCCCGGCCCACCCTCCCGCCTCGCCCCTCCCCGCTCACCCGCGGACGAGCCGATCCTCGACCTTCGCGGCAGGGACATCTTAAGAGCCCTGTCCAGGCCTGCGCCGTTCAGCATCTCGCCGGTGTCGGTAGCTCGGCGGCCCCGGGCGGGCGGCGGAGGTGGCGCGCAGGGCTGGGCGCAGGGGCCGTGGCCCGAGGGCCATGGGTGGGCCGGCGCCTCGCCGGGCTGCGAACTGGCCGAGACCGCGGGCGCCTGTGCGGGGCCGCGCCCGAAGCTGCGGCGTCGGTGCCGCAGCGGCCAATGCAGCAGCGCCGGCGAACGCCACCGCGGCGGGCCCCGCTGGCCCGGGCTGCGGCGTGGGGGGCGGGGGACCGGCCCCGCAGAGAGAGCCCGGTGGGAGGAGGGGCAGGCGGGAAGGCCGGGAAGGACCTGCAAGGTCGCTCAGGACAGGGGGCTTTGCAGTGGCGGGGAAGGCGATGGGGTGGGCTTGTTGGGGTTGGGACCTGGGCGGCGCTCTACTGGGGCTCTTCTAGCAGGTGGGCGCCCCTGGCGGACTCAGGGTCTGGACCTGTCTGCTGCTTGTTTACCTATCTGTCACTGTCAGTGGGTGCAAATGGGGGCACTGTGAATCGGTCAGGACTCGCAACTTCCCTTTCTTTTTGCAGTTTCTGCATGTCCACCTTTGTAGGATCTGTGCAGGTTCATGGGACAGTCATTTCCAAGGTGTCTAATGTGTGGCCTGGAACTCAAAAGTTCAGGATCTCCAGCTCCTGACCCCAGCAGCCTACCTAGAGTTCTTAACCAGTGGCACGTGAAAGATTCGAGGAACCCTGGGGGACACTTCGTGCACACATGTCGCCCACCAAACGCACACACCTTCCTCCATAGAAACAAAATCATACTGAGAGGTGAGATGACTTTCCCAAGGTCACTTCATCTATTGTTTTGGTTTTGCTTGTCAGTTAATGTTTTAAACTGTGCTAGATCCTTCTGGGCACAGATCCCTAAAGAAAAAGAGCTAAAGAATCATATCTGATGAAATTCTGACCTCAGAGTAAAATACAAAACAGAACAAAACCATTCAATAAGAGTCTGACCTTGCATTTGCTGAAGTGATCATTACATTTAACTTAACATAAATTAAATATCAGGGCTTGACATGGAGGAGAGCAGACTTCAGCAGCATCCATCAGTGCTGGGGAAGACAGAGCCCTGCCCCCCACCTCCTCTTGCTTGGCCTCTACTATGGAGTTTCTTGGGGACATCCAGAAGGGACCAGCATCTTGCACTGAAAACTGTAGGCTGCTACAAGTCTACTACACTAAATTTCAGCTTCAAATAGGATTCCCTCACCTGTCCATTCTGGGCCCTCAAAAAAAGTTAAAATTGCTTCTTGTGACAGATGAATCTTTAGCGGGAAGTTGAAGAAAATTTCTCAATTGGTGGTCGAGCTTCAGGATGGGGGATGATTTCTCTGTGGGCCTTTATAGCTGCTGAGGGTGATTTGAAAGCTAGGGTTAATCCTAACACAAAATTTGTCACTAAAGATTCAGTAAATTTTCTTTGAAGCAAATTCTGAGGACCTAACCAGAATTGGAAGGAACTTGAAGGGAAAATACGGGATTTTCAACCCCAACGTTCAAAATAAATACAGTAGAACCTCCATACTTGACACCTCCCAACATTGACCTTCTCCTTAAATTGACCTAATTTCCACAGGCCAGACATGCACCACCTGTATACGTCAGTACAGTAGGCCTCGTTCCTTAAATTGGCCACCTCTGTATGTTGACCAGCTTGTTACAGTCCTTTGGGTGATCAACTTATAGAGGTTGTACTATAGCAAACTTTTCTTCTTGGCCATTTCAGATGAGAACAGAAAGAGTAAACAAAGGCTAGTTTTAAGAAGGAATATGTTAGACATGACCATTTTGCCTTGATCACCACAGACTGGCCCAGCGTCCTGCCCTGACTTCCTGCAACCCCATCATGAAATGGGGTTGCTGCTTCTGTTTCCATGTTTATCTTTCAATATCCAAAACTGTCCTGACAGCGTTGTAGGAATATTAAGTTTGTTGATTGGCACACCGTGAAGATCACAGCATAGAATTCAGGGAGCAGGAAATGGTTATTCCACTTAGACTTCCCCTAATCTGCTGCCTCTTGGGAAGCTGGCCACAGAGGCCAGCCCTATATCCTAGCTTTGAGGTCTTCAAGGGAAATACCTGCACCAAGGACAGAGCTAGCAATGGTCACTATTTATTGTTAGGCTAGCAAATGGTCACTAGTTATTGTTAGGCCAACACACCAAAGCCAACGTGGATCACCCAGGGTCCTGTGCTTGACTTTGAGACCTTTTCGCTCTTGCCGGAGGCCACCTAGGTTGGAACTGAAGTAAACAAAGATGCCTATGAGAAGAAAGAGGAGCAAGACACAGGGCAACAGGGATAATTAGAGAAATGCATTTTTTCTTTGCCTTGATGAAAGCAAGAACTTCTCCAAAAAGAGAATTTGCCTCTCTTCTGAGAGACACCATCCCAGGCGTTCACAAGACAGGTGTTAGAAGCAGCCTGCAGAAAGAGGAACTAATCTCTCAGCGATAGTCCCGAGGGAGAGTCCACCAAGCCCCTAGCACTGTGGGCTGAGTATCATTGAACTTAGCCAGAGCAACCCTTTTCCTCTCTCTTGATGAAATGAAGGGAAAAGGAGAACTGGTTTTCTTTCTCTGAAAGCCAGCTGTCTCTAAGCCTCTCACTATTCTGTGTCCCCCTCTCCCTAACCAAAAAGTGCAGCCAAAACAAACCAGTCTCTCAGGGGAGGCATCTGCCCGCCTCTGGTGCTGTGGCTGCAGGGAGGAGCACTCTGCTTCTAAGACTGGCAGCCCGCACCAGGGTTCCAAAACTAGAGTTTTCGGGCAAGTCTTCCTATGACTATCTTAAATTTCTTATATTTTAACTGAATCCAGTTATTCCTTACTTAGTCTTCATATTCCTAGCAAATAATCAGCTAGCGCCCTTCCCAAGAAATTGTTTCGTGCAAGTGAAGACCTTAAGCCATTCCCTTAAGCCCTCTTTTCCTTAGACGAAAAACAAAGCCCCATTTCCTTTTAAAATATTTGTGTGTATATATTTTATGTCTGTATAAATATATCTGTGTAAAAATATACAAACATTTAAAAAAGGAAATTAGCGTTAATTTTGATTTTTTTTTTTGAGACAAAGTCTCACTGTCATCTTCAGTAGAGTGCTGTGGCATCACAGCTCACAGCAACCTCAAATTCCCAGGCTCAAACGATCCTCTTACCTCAGCCTCCCTGGGTAGCTGGGACTACAAGCGTGTACCACCGTAGCCAGCTAGTTTTTCTGCTTTTAGTGGAGATGGGGATCTCACTCTTGCTCAGGCTGGTCTCAAACTCCTGAGCTCTAACAATTCAGCCACCTCAGCATCCCAGAATTCTAGGATTATAGGTATGAGCCACCACGCCTCACAAGGAAACGGCTTATATATGACATGTAAGTAAATATAGATAAGCAACCATTGGTGTACCTATGCCCCAATTTAGGAAACATAATAGGCCAGTGGAAGCCACTTGTGCCCTCATTCCAAGTTCTGCTTTGCCTCTGTCCCCAGACCAATATATTCACAGGGTCTCTTTCTTCTCTCTCTCTCATTATTTAAAAAGCAAACCTGGCATTATTGGGCAAAAGATCCGGGAAGGAAGATCATTTAATGGAAATCTTTGGGGTTTCTTTCTATGGGGTCCTTACTAAGCATTCTGTGAATGCATTTTGATGTGAATGTAACTGTTCTTGGAATTCTTCTCATTTTACACATTGTTTTTAGAGAGCCATATCCCAAACCGGACAAAAAAGAAATATCCAGCAGAACTGTGAATCTTCCTGACCCCTCTTCCTCAATTATTTCATTCATTTGGTAACATTCATTTTCTAGCATTTGATGCTAGCTGACAGCTGGAATATTAACTGGGACTGGCAGCTGGTAGACCTAACCACAGCTTCTCCAGCTGCCTCAAAATATGGTGGCTGGGTTCAAGAGTAAACATCCAAGACACACTGCTGATGGGAGCTGTATCACCTTTTCTAAGGTGGCCTTGGAAATCATGCAGCATTACTTCCATCAACTTCTGTTTGTTCAGGCAGTCATAAAAACCTGTTCTGTCCAAAGGGAAAGGAAATGGACTTCTACCTTTTGAAGAGAAAGTGGCAAGATTTTGAAAGTGTGTGAGAGTTGGAAACATTGTTGCAGCCATTTAAAAATATATAACCTAAAAGAGCAATTGTAATTTTAATAAAATATCATTTATAATTGTACCATAATCATATAATATCATAATATAATAACCATATTTATGGGGAAATTAATGAAAGATGTACAAGATCCCCACAATGAAAACAAGGCATTTGGGTTCCCAAAGAACAAAGATGAAGGACTTAACGCTATTTAATTTCAAGTCTTTCTCTAATTCTCCTTCCAATCATGACAGCGTGTTGCAGTCATAGGCAGAAACAGATCCACACATGGATGGCTAACTAATTTCGACAAAGCCATTCAATAAGGAAAAGATAAGGCTTTTCAATAAGCGGTAACAAAACAACTTTATATGTTAAAAAAAAAAAAAGCTTTGACTCCTTAACCATGTGCAATAATTAACTAAAAATAGAGCATAAACTTAAATGTAAAAAAAAAAAAAACCCAAGCATCTAAAGCTTCTAGAAGAAAACATTGCCAAAAGGATTTCATACACAGGGCATAGAAAGCACTAACCATTAAAGAAAACACTTACTTATTGAGCATCATCAAAAACCGAACAACTAGGCAAGCGGCAGACAGGCAGGAGACATTGACAATGCACATGTCTGATGAAGGCCTTGTATCTAGTAAATAACTCCCACAACTCAATACTAAAACATAAATCTAATTTTTCTTTCTTTTTTTCTTTTTTTTTATTTGAGATAGAATCTCACTCTGTTGCTCTAGGTAGAGCACCATGGGGTCATCATTGCTCACAAACAACCTAAAACTCCTGGGCTCAAGTGATGCTCTTGTCTCAGCCTCCTGAGTAGCTGGGACTATAGGTGTATGCCACCACTCCCAGCTAGTTTTTTTCTACTTTCAGTAGAGACAGGGTCTCACTCTTACTCACAGTGGTCTCGAACTCCTGAACTCAAGCAATCCACCTGCCTCAGCCTCGAGAGAGCTGGGATTATAGGCGTGAGCCACCTTGCCCTA